ATTAGTAAGGTGATGGATTAGGTAAACCATTAACACCCCATTTTCTAAAATTTAACAGAAAAAAAAAAAACAAGAAGAGAGAGAGAGTATAAATGTATTGTTTCAAGTGTTTATAGAAAGTGATGAGAGTGCTTAAGGAGGAAAAAAACAAGAATGTAAAAGAGAGAGAGAGCTCATGGTTCTGTTAGAGTAGCTGTGTGACAGTCTTTAGGAAGAAATGGCCCACCTTTAAGATATCATAATTATTCTACTCTAGTTGGTGAAGTAATCTCTCTTGAGTTTTTTTTTTTTTTTTCAAAAAATAAATAAATATTTTTTTTCTAATTATATTTAAATCAAGTCATGAAATTTTTATGACTAAAAGAAAAAATTAGAGTATTAGTACCTTTTAAAATCAGATGAAGAAAAGGAATGAAATCTTACATAAATAGAATCTAATAAATGACTATTTATTTTATTTTGTTTGTTTAATTAATAGCACAACATTAAATATTATTTTGATAGGAGCTATAAACCTTTGATTTAAGATTTTATTATAAATTATTTTTAATTTATTTTTTTAAATTTCGTGTTAAGTCAAACATCACAAATAAAATGTAATAAAAGAAGTAACAACTAACTTTGTTTTAATTTGTTTGTTTTACTTTCTTTTTTAGAATGTTTTTTAAAAAAAAATTATAATTTATTAACTTTAACTTGTTACCTGACGTGTTTTTAATTTTATTTATTTTTAATTTAAGAAATTGAAATTTAAAAAATTTTATTTTTATCGAGTTAATAAAATAAAAAAATTAAACCAATAATAGTATCTTGCAATTTCAAACAGTACTTCCATCAAACGATCTGAATTGTCAGTTCAAGATCTATATAATTTTCCTTTTATTTGGTAGAAAATGTAAAAAGTGAAATAAAAATCTATGATGAATTCTTTCTTTTTACAATATCTTTTTTTTTTTTTAGATTTTTCTAGTTTCAATATGTATTTTGTGTTCGTGGTGAAAATGATTGTGGTTGGTGTAAATTATGATCGTTTTTAGTGTAAGATAATAATAATAATAATAATAATAATAATAAGCATTCGAGTAGTGGTTCCTCCCACTTTTTTAAAAAAAGTTATTTTTTTTCCCTATCTCTTTGGAGTTGGTGAATGCAAATAATGAATTATTTTATTTTTACTAGTATAGATACAAGAGTTTGTGCAAGTATAGTTTCAATGTATTACTTCATTTAGGGGGAAAATTATATGAGTTCATGAATTTGTAAAAGTTGTTTAGTTTGTGAGATTTTTATGAGTTTGAGGATTTAGTTTGATATTTGACCTAATTTACTTATTTAAAATATTACTTATTTTTTTTTAAACTTTTTAGATTAAAATTCTACCTACATTACGACTAGATGCAAATGACAGTTTGATTAAAACATGTTTTTCATAATACGATGATATTTGAATGGTTTCAAGTGAATCTTAAATGAATTAGCCAAAGTTCATTATGGTACACTAATTGTGCGTGATTAATGACATATAGGTCGCAACTTTATAAGCATAATAAGTTATGTTATTTAATTTTACGATATTTATACTGTAAGAGACATAAGTTCAGTATAATTTATAAGATAAAAATTCGTAAAACTTATGAAGAGTGAATTAAATGTTATAGAACTTATATCAAATAAGTTTAATTCTTATAAAGCATATGATGGATAAAGCAGAATTTTCTAAAGCTAAATCTTGCAAAATTAGGTTATAACGACTAAGAATATTTTGACTTATATAAACAAAAATTTGAAGAGCATCTTATTTGAATGTAGCATTGTTTTGTTATAAAAAAAGTAGAAATGGCATTCAAATTCCTTGTTAATAGCAAATTGTGTTATATTCATAAATGAATTCAAAATAAACCAACTAATTAGTAATAGTAACAAGAAAATGAAATTAAAATTGAATTTTGTGGATTCAAGTTATAATTATTATTATTTCTTAATCCACATATATATATATATATATATATATATATATATATAAAATACCGCTCATGTAAATTTTAAACAAGTTGAAATTTAACTATATATAAGACAAAAATCATAAATGCATATGAAAAAATTCAAACAAATTTACTTTGAAATCGATTAAATCTAGATCTTGAGTATACCGATCTAGTCATAAAAGATATTGTTGCATAAGCTAATCGATTATGTATTATTTGGAAAATAAGTTATAGACATTTTTACTTAAATTCCTTACAATTTTGTTCTGTTTTACTTAAATTGAGAGTTTTTTGAATTTTTACTTGTATTAAAAATAAAATTTATGTTTATAATTTTGAGACTCTATTATAAATTATTATTATTATTATTATTATTATTATTATTGATATTATTATTGTGAAATCATGGATCCCCATATACATTTATATTATTTTATCCAAAAGAGCTAATTGCAAGTTTGAGTATACCTTCCTTTCCTTTTTACAATTTTTATTGAATATATATCTTAGTTTACCTTTTTCAGGTGTTATATTGTCTTATTGGCAACCTTGATTTCATATTCTTTACAAAAAAAAAAAGGTTAAAATAAATAAATAAATAATTTAGACTAGTCTCCATGTCCTTCATTCTGACAATATGGTATTATATGGATCGTATATCTTTTGTACTATTCTATAAATTATTATTATTATTATTATTATTATTATTATTATTACTATTATTACGTTTAGCATGTATTATTGGCTTGTCATTTACTTTTACTATAAAATAGAAGAAAACTAAATAACTCTTAATTCATTCGTATGCTTTTTTATTTTACGTGATACATATTTTTTTTAATTATAATTTTTATTTTTGCTTAATAAAATAAATTATAATCATTCATAAATTATGTTAGACTTGTAAAATATTCTGAAATCAAATAAATAAATTTACGTCAAAGTCTGATCTAAAGAAGGAAAAGAAATGATATTTCGACTGATTTTCCAACTAATACAACAAGTTTATGCTATTGTAACTAAACCATATATATGCATACTAATAAAAAATAATATTCTCCTTCTATTCCTAGTATAGCTTAGCAAATATGATATATTTTTTATCGAAAAATTATATCGTGTAATTAGATAAATATATACAGTATACATATCAGAATACTGATTATATCGCTAAATTTATTTATTTCCCACCTTAATAAAGGGATGAGGTTTTAGATCATTGTCTAGTTAACTATATAATTTTTATAATATTATTGTTTGTATCATATTATAATAGTTGCCATGCTACTGTACTCTTACATAGTGTTGAGCGATTCAACAATTCTTTAGTAAAATTTTATTCAGTAAAAACTAAAAGGAGTTCTACTTTTGAGTTTTAACATAACAAAATACTAAAAATCCACCGTGGAGTTCTCAGTAGAAATTACATGTTTATTACTCGGCCATTAGCTTTAATTTAATTTTGAGATAATCAAAGAAATAGTTATAATAATAATAATACTAATAATAATAATAATAATAGTTCGTGATGATTAGATCAATTTTATTTGTTGATAAAACGAAGTGCTAGCCGATCAAGAACTTTCATGTTCATAAGGTGCAAATTGCAAAAATGTGTATATTATGAATGAGTATACTATGAGTGATAAGATAATAAAAAATAAGAAATATATCCAAGCAAAAATGTAGCCTGTGTTGTAGATAATATAAGGGAAGCGAGACTAAGATAATTTAGACATACAAAGTGGAGATAAAGGAAAAAGTATTAAAAAAGGTGATTAAACAAGACACGACGACATAACTTCAGCTAATCGATAAGCAAGAACATAATCCTAAACAAGAAGATATGTAGATAGCGAATTATAATACAAACATAAATCTTTTAAAAACAACATAATCTTTCTACCTTCACGAATTAATAATAAAATCTACTTCCGAGACTTCAATCGACACTCTTTCTCCACCCTAGCAGGCAGCAGCACAGAACTTTACAGTGAAATAAGAGAGTAGCAGAGGGCCCAGTGATGTTTGTTTGTATGTGTAAGGCACACTTTGCGTGACAAGTAGGAAAAGTTCAAACCCATTCCTCCTTGCCCTTTGTTTGGTTCCTCGATATTTATATTAGAGTTCGATTAATTTAAATTTATATTGAATAGAGTTTTATTCGAGAGAAGCGCTCTTTACCAACAAAATTATATGTTATTGCTACAAACATTTTACTCAAGCCCTACTTGTTTAACTAGTAACTCCTACTACATTGCTATAAGATTTTATTTTAATTTTTCATTTATATAGTATGGTCCATAAAGTCAAAAATAATGTATCACTTATTCTGAAAACTTAGCATGGTACTCAGCACATGTCTGTTTTCCATCACTTTCATATATCTAAATATGACACCAAAAGTTTGGGATTTAAAGAAAGAATAATAGAGCACTGATTTCTTTTGTTTTCATGGTACCACTGGATCTTTAATTTCTGGTGGTTAAACAGGAGCCAGTACACCAGATTCTTCCAATGCATTTTAAGTCTTTTATCGAGTTAATTTATGTGTATCTTGATTAATTTTACGAGATATTTTTAACTAGAATATCAATGATATAAGTTCCTCTATAATGTATAACAAAAATTGGACTTCTCAAAATCGTTACATTCAAATTCGGTATGATTCAGTTAAATTTTGATCATGTAACGTAATTTAATAATAAGAATCGCATTTTAAAGCTTTCTACTTTTAATAGTATATGTGATGAATTACGTTAGCTCAAATTAATGAATGATGAGTCTATTCAACCTAAATTATTAATTACAAGGTACATCCTATACATTGCTATCAATTGAATTTCAGAAAATAAATTGTTCCAACAACTTTAAATATGCATCGAGTATTCAACTCATTATAATTTTTATTTAATACGTCACATTAAGAAGTTGTCGTTAGTATTTTGTAAAAGTTGTACATAAATTCGATCAACTTATGCCTTCCTCATTCAAAGTCACTCTACAAAATATGAATATGAAATGAATATAAATGATATGATGTTCATTGAAAGTCCCTCTACAAAATAAACCATGCACAAGGCATGTTACAATTTTACCAGGAACTGTTGAATTACAAGAATGTACCATCTTTCTTTTTCCTTTGCATCATCCCAACTGAGTAAGGAGGAAGCACACTCTTTGAATAAAAAAGAAATCCATCATCTTGTTGAATTATAACATATCAAGCTTCAGATCATACTACCATTTTACTGGACTCATCTAATTTAAGAAAATTTCTAAAAATTCCTCATCATGAATGAATGAAGACCTAGGAAAAATAATGCATTTACACTCTTTTCAACCAGAGTTTGGACACTAAATCAGGTATCCCATCCACCTTCTCTTAATCCTGTACTGTGTATATTCCAATTAAGTTGGGTAAATCAACTCAGCCTCAAAATCTTTTATATTATGGTAGTTGAGGTTGACACTGCATCCATTATCAATTCCAAGTTTACTAATTTGAAAGATTAGAATGGTCTGCTTGGCAAATGAGAGGTACCACAGGCTGCCCTGGTTGTTGGATTGAAGGTAGCCTCAATGCTGCTGTTTTCCAACCCACTTTTATACCAAGCAACGTTACTTATCTCTGTGGCTAATGCGGCCAACTCATGGCTTGAGAAGGAAGGAGGCTCAGCGTAGTCAACAAACTCAGGCCCCAATAGTGAGCTTCCGTTAATTTCTTGATTGACATTGCCACAACAGCCATGGCCACATTGGTGAGGCACTAATCTGTCGGTGAAAGCTCCTTCAAGCAACTTGGTGATCCCAAGATCAGGGGCTTGGGTAGGAATTAGCCTTGGAGTTTGCAGTTGGGATTCTGGGACATTCAAAGAACCATATACGCTAAAAGCACTTATCCGAGCCACAGGACGGAAGAGAGTACGAGGATCATTTGCTACATCACTCTGTTGAACTACTTCTTGACTCCTATCCTCGTAGTGATTACCTTCTTGGTTTTCTTGAGAGCTAACGTCTTTTGCTTCAATTGCTTTCAAAGAATTCACATCACCACATGATTGGGTTTCCTCAGATGATGCTTTTGATTTCCCAGCACTAGCATCCTCCAGGATGTTGCTGGAGTCACTTCTTAACTTACCATGTTCAGCACAACGGCGCCTCAAGGTTGAATTCCAATGATTTTTAATGGCATTATCTGTTCTACCTGGCAAAAGCCTTGCAATTGATGCCCATTTGTTCCCATGAATGGCATGAGCCTGAAGGATAATCCGATCTTCTTCATCTGTCAAGAGTGGCGGAATTATTAGTTTCATTCAACAGCTACTTATATAAGCATACAACAACATACCCGTGAAATCCCACAAAGTGGGGCGTTAATATAAGCATGAATAGCAATAATTGTTTCCTAATATCAGAAACTAGGGGTGACTCCGCTGGAAACTAAGAAATATCTCTAGTTTGATGTAGAACAGCCCCAAATCTTTTTTTGAAACTGGACAACACCAAATCTTCAAATATGTAGGAGAAAAACACATTTCACTGCATGTATAGTAGATGCTTTATTTTATCTTTTGGCTACAAGTATAGATTTTATTGAATGGTACCAAGATGGTAGAAGAAAAAAAAAAGAAGAAGCCTACTACACTCTTCTTCCTAACATGTCCAGTAAATCCATTTACTGGTTCAAACTATCAAGCGAGTCACTTTTACACCGTCAGTACAGAGTTTGTAAACATCTTTTCTTAATTCTAGAAAAGTGAGTTCCCTGCCCGTCAAAGCAAGCCTTGTTCCTCTCCAGCCATATGTCTACGAATAACTCCCAACATCCCCCCCTCCCCCTCCCAAAAAAAAAAAAAACATGCCACTTGGCAGGAGCTTTTATCTTCCATATCACCCTCCAATGCCAATAAGTATCCCATTGACCTAACTGCTTTATCAGAAGTACCTCAAATTCTTGACCGAAAATTTCTTGTCTTTACTTACCAGCCAAATCATGGTATCCATCTTACTAGATCAATTTAAATTGTTTAAGAAACTGCAAAATTGTTTAAGCAACTGGCAAAATTCTTCTATCCCTCAATCATTCAAATTACTACTGAATCTTTAGCTGCCAACCAGAGGTAGAGAGAAAATCAGCAATAGTACCATCCTTTTTAGATGCAAATTGCAAAGAGGTTTAATTGTTAATCAAGGGGAAGGTCCTAAGTCCCCACCGTTGAGAAGATACAACCTCAACACTTTCGCTTCCCCTCCTTTAATTCTCGAACAAATAGGAAAGTAGCCTGTGCACTCCCTTTTTACTTCCCAACCCAACCTAGCCTAGGAAAAGTGGTCATAACCAGCATCTCGGTTGGTACTTGGTGGGTATTATTAGCTTTTCATTAACCCCACATATAATCTTCTAAACTGCAAAATAATCTGGTGTTTCACAGATTATGCTTTATAGTTAAAGAGAGAAAAAAAATAAAAAAAATACTACTTTCGTCCCATTTTGCTGGGACGGAGGTAGAAAACATTAAAATGATTGTTGATTTAGTTTGCTGAAAACCATAGTCACAAAAGTTAAAATTTGAATAGTTCAGTTAAATTAGAATCTTAGAAGAGCCATCAAAGGCTCAACACTAGTATGCATAACCTAGTTCATTAATCTGCAGCAACCTATCATTAGTCAGTAAATAGTCTGTATTATTACATGTATGGTTTTGGGCGCTTAGAGCGATAAAGAGATATGAAGTGAGGATGTCCTTGCTTGCATGGATGAAGCAAAGCAATTCCGAAGAAGCGTACACTTCATAAAGTAAAGCGCAAATAGATACAAAAAGAATCGGTAGGTTTATTTGAAAACAAGGGCTGCAATCTCAGTACTAGGATTTCTCTTCAGATTTACTTTAGTCTTCTCAGTTCTCTTCATTGACTTCTTCTGTTACAATTCCCTTCTTTTCTAGATTGGTCTCTCTAGTATTGTTTCTCTTTTTTAGAAAACGCACTCTTATTTCCCTTCTACTGTGTGCGGAGCCTTCTTCTCCTGCAGTTGGAATTTTCACCTTTAAAGCCACTGGCTTAATTCATGGCCACGTTCTCAAAGCTGAGTTATTTTTTGTCTCTACTCAAGAGTTATACCATACTGTCATGTATTTACACTTCAACTTTTATAAGACCTAGACCGTTCCATCATTCACTAACTTTGAGTTTCAAGACTAGTGCAAGGACCTACTATTGTATACTAGTAAAAACTTGAACTCTTCCTCTCATGGTATAACAAGCAATCTAAAGGTGAGCTACTCTTGACGATCAGTTCGCTACTTCTCGAGAACGGGGGTGACATGGTCGCTTGGCCAGTGAACAGTGGTAAAGATTTGGACTTGAATGCTATGTTGCTAGGACTCTCCAAAATGCAGCCGCACCGTGTCAAATCCTCCAAAAATGCACTACTTTGATGGATCTGACATGCACCCAGTGGCTTTAGGATTTTTGGAAGAGTATGAGCAACATAGCTCGAGCATAGTCAGATCTGCTAAAACCCCTAGATGTATTTTCAGCTCAAATGAAAATACAAGTGCAAGTCCCAAATAATGGAAGTAACAGTCTCTTTTACATGTAAAAAATGCACACGTGAGATCACCTATTCACTTGAATGATCCATGACTTAAACCTGAATGCATTTGTACATCTGTGACCTTTAGCAAGCCCTGATCCAATCTTTATCACTACGTAATTTTCCAAACCTTAAGATCATCAGAACTCTCATGTGGGTCAATAGCTTCCGTTCAGAATCCTGTTGACCTCAAGTTGAAAATTCAAAATCAAATTTTGACAGTTTAAAAATACAGACTTTGCTGGATCTAAACATCAATGAACTTCAATATCCCAAGTGGAAACTACATTTCACCTAAATACAGAGCTATGATCAAATACCTTCTGCTTTGGTTGAAACTCCAAACATTAATCATTTTTTTGATTGGTAAAATCCAGACTTTAATCTTGAACACAGGTAATCCAAACTTAGCTAAAGTTAAACATGAACGCACTACAAATTCACAAGTAGAAACTACATTTCACCGGGAACATTCAACTTTAGTCAATACCTTACTGCCAGGATTCTCTTGACACACAAGTAGAAACTACATTTCACCAGAAATATTCAACTTTGGTCAATACCTTAACTGCCAAGATTTTCTTGACACCAAGTTCAACATCCAAACTTTACCTGAGCTAAACAATACAAACTACAAAATCACAAGTAGAAATTATATTTTCAACAGATATTCAACTATGGTCAATACTTACTATCAAGATCTTATCAACCCCAAATTCAAAATTCAAAATTCAAAATCCAAAATCCAAACATTACTAAAAAGTAAAACATCAATGCAGGATCATATCACAAGAAGAAACTGAATTTTCATAAAACCCCTTTTAACCAAATGGCAGAACAAAAATAAACATATGGTTTTCGAAAGTTACCGGTAAAGGGTTTGCGTTTAACAGCAGGGTCAAGCTGATTACACCATCGCAACCGGCACGATTTTCCCGATCTGCCGGGAATTCCACGAGCGATCAAACTCCAATTCCTCGCCCCAAAATTGCTTACCAAACGACTAAGTATAGCGTCTTCTTCAGGTGACCATGGTCCTTTTACACGGTCTGCTGTTTTCTTTCTCACTTGGTCACTGCTTCCACTTCCGTCCTCTAGCATCAACACTTCCTCTTCATCACCGCCATCAACACCGCCGCCGCCGCCGCCGCCTCCCATGGAGGCATCCCCAATTCCTCCGCCGTGAGAACCATCAACGGCGACGGTCACTTCTTGAACTTCCGGTGTATCGTTTTCCATTTTTTGTGTTTTAAAATTTTGATTTTATGTTGTTTTGGGTACCCGCCTAAGTACAACTGCAAAATAGACGAAGGTAGGTATATAGAGAGAGTGAAGACAGCTAGTTACTTCGAAATTTGTTTGTTTTTCCATTTTTACCCTTGTAACCTACGTTGTTGTTCAAACTCTTTGAAAATATCGTCCATATTTTTTTTAAAAAAATTGCTCCAACTCTTAGAAAATATCGTCCATAATTTTTTAAAAAAAGGAACTATGTTTGACACATACAATACATTCAAAAAAGCTTTTTTAGCAACTTGAGTTATAGTGTGATATTGAGAATATTCCGTCCTTAATTAATTATAGGCCAGTCTCATATTTGACTTTTGATATGGAGAAAATTATTTTGAGAACGTTACCCTCAGATTGATCATGTAATACGAGATTTAAATTTAATTAGAGCTCTAATTTAGACTCTGAATATCAAATGAAAAACTAAAAGAAATATTATTTTTTTTTACTTTGATTAATCTAAACTCAATTCAGATAAAGCAAAATTTTAATTTTTATTATTTACATCAAATTACTTGAAATTATTTTTATTAATATGGAAAAATGCTTGATATGCAGAGTATTTTTCATTTTACTATCTAATAAAAGTGAATAAGAAGCAACACTCTGTTAATATGTGTATTTATTGTTCGAAGGATAAAATTAACATTTTATGTTTTTTTAGCCTATTTATAAAAAATTTGGTCTTGTGGACCATTTCATTCAATTTTGATATTCTTTTTAGAGTCTTCCACGTATCTTTATTTGTTTAGTTATATTTACCATTATCATGAGTATATAAAATGATGAAAAGTTCTGTTTTATCATACATTTTAAATTGATATTCAAATATTTTTAAATTTTTAATTTTAATTGAAATTATATTTGTTATTGGAATTTTCAAAAAAAGTTTCATGATCTACTATCAAAATCTATATGCATATAAAATAATGCCCAACTATAATAAACAAAAAATTTAAAAATATTTTCACTCTAAACTAGGTTTAAATTAGTACTAAAGGAGATGGTGCAAAAACATAATACGTCATACTTTTAAAAAAATTGTAAGTTACAATCCACCCATTAATTAGTATAGTGTTTTATTAGCTAAGCTTAAATTTACATATAATCTAACGAGAATTCGTATAACCAATTTTAATTAATTTAATAATTAGGCATAATTTTCTTTCTTTTCATTTTTCAAAGTTCACTAACAATTTTCTTTAAATTCTTGTTTAAATACACAATTAAACAATAAATCTCACGTAAAAAAAAAGGAGAGTCTTTATTAAATTTTCACTGAAAAAATAATTGGTACAAAAAATTAAAACGTCACATGGAAAAAAATTCTAATATCTTCTTGTAAAAAGAAATTATTCATATATATTATTTTATAATAAGGTGTAAAAATAATTTTATAAAAATGAAGGAGATGGAGCAGGAGCATCAACACCATCTTCAGCAGCACCACTACTCTTCAACTTCTTGTTCTTGTTGCATATGTCTGGCAAGTATGCTCCTACACATAAATAAATACAAAATCTCGAAATAATTAAGACGATTATAATAATAAAAAAATAATGCATATATATATTTTTATTGTCTAACAAATTATACATATTTTGTACTATGCGTCATTTATTAGACAACAAAAGTATACCTATGTTTTATATTTTTTAACGAGTAATACATCAGCACTGAATCGTAAAGTCGTTAGATTTACCTTCACCAGCAGCCAAGTTGAAGTAAAGGTCAACAATATTGGGGCATTGTTGATAACAAGCAGGGGCACATAATTTGGAAACAAATCGAGGCTCAAGCAAATCATCAGATGAAATTCCAAAGAAATTTCTATTAAGACCACAAGATTCAATACATTCATCTGTTTCAATGTGTTCCTTCATGTTTTGAACCATAACTTCTGATGTCTTGCATTCATATTCACTACTAATTAAGTCATCTTTTGGTTTTTTTGCTTTTTCTAATACACACCTTTTTCCAGTTGATGAAATTGCAAATGCACAATCACTATTTGGTAAACTCTCACATTTTACCTCAGCTACAAAAAAGAAAGAGAATGGTTAGGTAGTTGTTCGTTCTGTTTCAATTTATGCGACACAGTTTAACTAAAGTACATATAAAGTTAAAGAAAAATAAATCAATTTGTTGTCTAAAATAAATCTTAGAATATGTGTGGCTATGAATCATTCGGTAAAGATAATAAATTAATATTTTAAAGTTAAAGTTATTTATGATTAAAAAAATGTAATATTCTTTTTAGAGACAGACTTAAGAAAAGTGTGAAGATTGATGGAGAGTGGAGTACAAGAATAATGTGCATTAAGAGAGATTGATCAAGAGTGATTCAACTGAGTTCAGTGTTTTCAGAATTATTATTAACAAATCAATAAATCCAAATTATATGTTCATGCATGAATAAAGACGAGATTCAATTCAACAAATTGTTTTTTCATAATATTGATTAAGAAAAATTGATGAGATTCAACTAAATATATTATTTTCACGATTAGTAAAGAAATCAACTAACTCACTTTTATATACCGCATAAGCGACTTGGAGGAAAAGGGAACATGTAAAAAAAAGGATCAAAGATGATTTCATTGATGAACCCATTTATTTTTCTTGTTTTTCTCTTTTGTTTAGTTGGGAATTTGATTATTTTTTTGTATATTTTTTTTTTGTTGTTGGAAAAAAGAAAATGGAGAAAGAACTTTTTTTTGTTTTAGATGAGTTTGAATGAAGGGTTTTCTTAGGTTTATATAGGGAGTTGTTTTGTGTATAATGACCAATAGAAATCATACAAATGTTTGATCAATAGCTTAATTAGTTACTTTTCTGTTTTAATCTTTCTTTGGTGAGGATTATTTTAAATATTTGATGAATTTTTATAAGGTCAAAATTTAAACTCACATGCTAAATTAATTTTTTTTTAGCATCATTTAACATATCATTTGGTACCTAAGTGGTTTAAAAAGTGTGCTTATTCTTTTAGAGACATGTGACAAATAGAAAAGAAGTACTAAAATCTTATTAATATAAAAACACGATTTATATTGAGTTAAACTTTGCTTAGTTATTGATATGTAATGTAAATTGTATGGCATGTTGATTTATCTACAGACTTACTCCCTTCGTTTTACTCCCGGTTTATTCTAGACCTCGCCTCACTCACATTCCATCAGAAATTGGCCTAGCCTAAAAATTTTAGATCATTATCTAAAAAAAAAATTTGGCCTAAACTCAATTAGTGAAAATGATAAAAAGAAGGGATAAGATATCAGAAATCCTTAATTATAACGAATTTGTCAGTTACACACTTAAATTATGCGAAAATCATATTATCTCTTAAACTTGATATTTTTGTATTACTAAGACCCCTAAACTATGCAAGATCACATTGCCTTCTTGAACTACCTAGAATTTTATCACCCTGAAACTTAATTGTCAAGATTGCAATGATTTTCGTGCCTAGCATCACTACAAAAGCAGTGAGAATTACATGGGGATTTTCTTGGATATAAGTATGAAAATTCGCAGGAAGCTTATTTTCCTACAAATTTTCACACTAATTCCCAGGAAAATTCTCATTTAATTCACAGTTTTCTTGTAGTGAATTGTCTGATGATGTATTGCATAGTTAAGTGCACTCTTGCACTGATCATCTATATGTGAAGACACATCACTCGTTTTGAGATTGACCTTTATTTCAAGTCATCCACCACTTAAATGACCTTTGTTTCAGATCCAACCAAACATAAATTTATTACCTTCCTCTCGTCCTCTTCACCTTCTCCAACCAAAACGCCTTCATTCTCACCACCTCCAACAAGCTTCAATCAGCAACTATAAGTGAGAACCAACAACAAAAAAAAAACCAAATCAACTTAACCAATAAGTCTCAACTATCCTAAAGCCGCCAACCCCAAGCTCCAGCGAGATTGTGAACAACTAAAAACAATCAGACCGCCATTATCTTTAGGCAACCGATCACCACCAAAATTCCAATTGGGTAAAATTCAAAATCAACTTCGAACTATGACAAGATTGTAAACAATCAAAAGTCATGCCAACATTTTTTACTTCAATGGAGAGAGTATAAGAAGTAGGAAGAATGAAAAGATTAGGAAGATTAGAAGAAGGGGTGGAGTAAAATTGTGGGGATGGAGAAATGAAAAGGTAAGAAAGATAAGACATTAGACTTTTAATCTACAATTTTGTTACTTTCTCAGTTTGCAAGCTTCCTTTATTGAATATTAAGATATTCTTTATGAAATTGATATAATTCGATTCAGAAATCAAACAAACTCTTTTTAATTCTTAAAGAAATGTGAGAATGTATACAGAGCGTAGGCTTGCTTTTGAGCACTCTAATTTCTTCAAAGTATCAGCGCCGAAGGCACGGCCCGACCATTTAGGACAGGAGCGCATCGCCGACATAAGGGACGAGACGACCGGTGCATACCTAGGGCGGACCAGCCGGACCATCCCAAAGTCTAACTACGAGCTTTTTAACTTCAACAACTTAAATATACGCTATTGGAGCTGGAATTACCGCGGCTGCTAGCACTAGACTTGCCCTCCAATGGATCCTCGTTAAGGGATTTAGATTGTACTCATTCCAATTATCAGACTCATAGAGCCGGGTATTTTTATTAATTGTCATTACCTCCCCCTGTCAAGATTAGGTAATTTGCACGCCTACTGCCTTCCTTGGATGTGGTAGCCGTTTCTCAGGATCCTTCTCCGGAATCAAACCCTAATTCTCTGTCACCTGTCACTACCATGGTAGGCCACTATCCTATTATCAAAATTTGAAAGGGAAGAAATTTGAATGATGCGTCGTCGGCACGATGGTCGTGCAATCGATGAGTTATCATGAATCATCGCAGCAACGGGTAGAGCCAGCGTCGACCTTTTTATCTAATAAATGCATTCCTTCCGGAAGTCGGGTTTTGTTGCATGTATTAGCTCTAGAATTACTATGGTTATCCGAGTAGTAGATACCATCAAACAAACTATAATTAATTTAATGAGTCATTCGCAGTTTCACAGTCTGAATTTGTTCATACTTACACATGCATGACTTAATCTTTGAGACAATCATACGATTACTGGAAAGATCAACCAGGTAGCATTCCTCAATGACGTCCCGTGTCGCGCCTGTTCGGGCACGATTGGTCCAAGGCAAGCGCGACAGTCATTCCCAAGGAGCATTCGTTTTGGGCAGATAGGAGCCGGTGAAGGACCCATGCCCACTACGTCTACCGTATATGAGAATTTGAGACGCCGCTCGTCGACCACGCCATTGCACGACGAAGGCGACCGATTGCAATTACATAATGCTTAGGCATTGGGTATGCAGCACAAGATTCCGATATCCGACAAGCCTAGATTGCTCTTGATCCGCCAGTGAGATGGCATGCGAGTTAGGACGTCGCTACTCAAAGCATGGATCCAACCTAACCACACATGCCCAATACCACTCATGCGTCATACGTGAATAGCTCCGTTGATGCACGCCCGACATCCGCCGGGATGCCCGACATGAGATGTCGTGCGACGACGTCGATGCCTTCTTTGCAAGGCCAATGCTACACCCACCGTTGCGCGCTCGCCGAAGGGGGTTGAGAATTTAATCACTGCAGAGATGTTAGAGCAAGACTAACGTTCACCCAGGGGAACCTCTCATGCCCGATCCATCATAGCATCTGGCCGTACATGTCTTACGTGCCCCGTGCGTGCGACACCTAGAGTTAGCTGTAACAGGAGCTCTAGAACTCACCACTTGCTCGAAAGCACTGGCGTTTCTACTCCAAACGCTTATATAGATCGGTCATGAGAAGTTCCCTCGGCAGCGCACTGTCGCCCCGTAGACGTTGCTAGCATGTTTTTGTAAGCGCCCAATGGCGTAGCACGAACAATCCATGCATGACATCAAGCGCCCATGCAACACATCTACTAAGCCCATAAAACGCCTATGACGTTCTCCTTGTTACGTCTCATTCGCCTCGCAGACGTCGCTGACATGTTTTTGTGAACGCCCAACGACGTAGCACGGAAAAGTCATGCATGTCATCAAGCGCCCACGCAGCACGCCTACTAAGCCCACAGGACGCCTTTGACGTCCGCTTTCTTTTGCCTCAGTCGCCCCGCAAACGTCGCTAGTATGTCTCCGTAGACGCCCAACGGCGTAGCACGGACAAGCCATGCATTCCATCAAGCGCCCACGTAGCACGCCTTCGCCTCAAATGCCCAACAAATGTCGCTAGCATGTTTTTGTAAACGCCTAACGGCGTAGCATGGACAAGCCATGCATGTCATCAAGCGCCCACACAACACGCTTACTATGCTTACAGGACGCCCTTAACCCTACCTTTGCCTCAGTCGCCCCGCAAACATCGCTAGCATATTTTTGTAGACGCCCAACGGCGTAGCATGGACAAGCCATGCATGCCATCAAGCGCCCATGCAACATGCCTATTAATCCCACAGGACGCCCATCACGTCTGCCTGCCTCGCCTCAATTTCCCCGCAGACGTCGCCGGCATGTTTTTATAAACGTCCAACGGCGTAGCACGGACAAGTCATGAATGTCATCAAGCACCCACGCAACACGCCTACTAAGCCCATAGGACGCCCATGACATTCGCCTGCCTGCGCCTCAGTCGGTCTCCAACACCTCTACTCCTCTTATATATGCTTAAGAAAGTTTTACCCATGTGAGAGGAGTAGATATTATTTTTCTAGAGAATCAAATGTACAACCCAAATATGCACGTTCTAAGGTACAAACACACATTAGCTTTCACAAATCACTTTAATATATACATAAAAAATATTTTTAAATTTTTTTAAAAATTTTTAATTTTTTTTTGAAATTTCCAAAAAATTAGTAATAAATTAATAATAAATAGGAAAAATATCGAAAAAAATATAAAATCAAAACCAAAAATTCACAAATAAATATAATAACCTTGATAAAAAATTTAGTGCATTTTAATTTTTTAAAACGAGACGTAAAAATAATAAACCGTAAGAATAAATTATAAAATAATGATTAAAAGTCAAAAAAATACAAAAATGCTCAAAAACACTTCTAAACATGTGAAAGTATTGATAGACTACATATTTTGTACAAATAAAGATGTTTCAATATTGTACGAACCGTAAAAGAAATGAAGAATGATAAAGACAAGCCACGTGAGGCGGAAGCATTGAGAATAGATAATGGAAAATAGATGAATATGTTTGTTATGCATGAAAGGTGTTTCAAACTCCTTTGATTTATGTATGGCATGGACATCTGAATGTTTCAACTAGAGCTTGGCCAATGGCGCGCAAGTCATGGCCGATGCGAGCAGGCCACGACCGACCGTTGTGTGCAGCATGTCCAACGACGGTCAACCGTGTGTGTTGTCCAAGGGCTATGATGGCATGACATGCTTGACATCGTCCGACCGTGTGTGCTGTCCAAGGGCTATGATGGCATGCCACGTCTAACGTCGTCCGACAATGCGTGTTGTCCAAGGGCTATGATGGCATGTCACGCCTGACATCGTCTGACCGTGTGTATTGTCCAAGCGCGATGATGGCATGTCATGCCCGACGTCGTCCGACCGTATTTGCTGTCCAAGGGATATGATGACATTGTCAAGCCGATGTCGTCCGATCGTGTGTGTTGTTCAAGAGCAATGATGGCATATCACGCCCAACGTCGTCTGACTGCGTATGCTGTC